TAGGACTTTTGAGAATATTTTGAGCACTCGGAGTTTGCTAGTGTCAACATCCTTCTATGAGGATCAAGAAAAATATGATTGATGGCACACCAGACTTTCTTCTCCATTGTCTCTCAGAAGTTTGCCCAGACCCATGTTCATTGTGTCAGTGACCCTATCTAACCATCTCCTCCTCTGCCATCCCCTTCTCCTTTTGCCTTCCATCTTTCTCAACATCAGAGTCTTTTCCAAGGAGTCCTCTCTTCTGATTTGGTGGCCAAAGTCTTTGAGTTTCAGCTTTAGGGTCTGTCCTTCCAAAGGACAGTCAGGGTTGGCTTCCTTTAGGATTGACTGATTGGATCTCCTTGCAATCCAAGGGTCTCTTAAGAGTCTTCTTGAGCATCAAAATTCGAAAGCATGTGTGGAGTTACTAAGAGTTGGTCAAAGGAGGAGAGCAGGAAAAAAAAAGTCAGCTATTCTATGTCTTGGCTTCAGTCTCCAGCACCGCAATTTGAAAGCAGGCACCACCCCTAGTGTGGAAAAAATACCCTGAAGAAGGCCAGCCCAATGGGTGGGCTCTCCATAACAAGCAAATAAATAAATTTAACAACAGACCTACCAAGTAAACCATTAGTGTGAAGTCACCTCTGCCTTTGAAGCTGAATATCCACTCTAATTGGGTCTATTTGTGTCTTGTTGCCACAAATCCCCAGCAGTGGAGTTGAATTTGGAAGATGCTTTTTTTGATTATTTTTTTAAGCAAAATGTACATACAGGCTGCTAAAGACCCAGCAGAGGCTGATCCCTGCTTTTCAATCTGGTATCGATATCTTCCAAGTGGGGAAAACTTGTGGAACATGTTGATGTATTTAATGTGTTAGTTTTCTAATGATTTGTACGGAGATTATTTTAATTCATATCACGTTGGTTTGTTTATTTAGATCACATGAAAGGCTTGAGAGCCCCTTCCATGAAAAGACGGCTGGCATGCAGGTACATGAACTGCTTCTGTTAAATTTTGCTAGAATAACAGACTTAGAAGCATCTGACAGGAGCATCCAATTGCAATCGCCTCTTTTCAAATTTCTTTGAAAAGAATATTACTTTTCTGGATAGCATCATTCTTTCACTATTCTGATCCTGAGTTAAAACGCCTTATAAATCAGATCAGATAGATAAACTCAATAGGAATAATTTCATAACAAAAACATATTTATTCAGAGAGATTACCTGCATTGATGCTGGTTGTTACTTCTGGAAAATACATCTCTGTTCATTCCCATAGGTGAAAAAATGATGCTCTCTCCATACCATCTTTATAGCGGAACAGGGTCATCGGGTGACATCCGATGGCCCATGCTTCTCTTTAGACAAAGACATTCCAATCTGGCTTGTGTCCAGGAAGTCTCCCAATGCCCTATAGAAACTCCTCCCACTGACCCATTAACATGGGTTGACTGACTAGCTAAAACTACATTTCCCATAAGCCATCTCTTAAGGAGACAGCACTTAACCCAATAAATGCCAGATATTCTAACATACAGATACATGCTCTCTAGTTAGGGTTACATAGAGTTATACGATCCAGAACAATTACAATATTGTTTTTTGGCCCTGTCATCTTTCTTTACGTTTTTTTCCTTGTGGAAAAATCTTTCTCCAGAAGTGCTAATAACATTTAGAGTTGATTTGAAACGTTGCATTTGACTGGGGTTGTTGAAACTTTAAATGCAGTGGAGACCAAGAAGGGATATTAAGTGAAATAAAAAGTAATCAGAGAAGATCCTTGCAGGCCTGCGTTACAGAATTTGACATACAGGTATTCCTTGACTTTTGACCACAATTGAGTCCAAAATTTCTGTTGCCAAATGAGACACTTGTTAAGTGAGTTTTGCCCCATTTTACAACTTTTTCCTGCCACAAGTGAATCGCTGCAGATGTTAAGTTAGTAACATGGTTGTTAAATGAATCTCGCCTTCCCATTTACTTTGCTTGTCGGTAGGTCGCAAAAGCGGATCACATAACCCCGGGACACTGTAACCGTCATAAATATGAGTCAGTTGCCAAGTGTCTGAATTTTGATTACACGACCATGGGAATGGTGAAATGGTCGTATGAAAAGCGATCATAGGTCCCTTTTTTCAGTACTGCTGTAACTTCGAACAGTCACTAAATGAACTGTTGTAAGTTAAGGACTACCTGTACTTAGCAATTACACGCAATTATCAAATTTCCCATGCAGTTGTAAAGGATATGAGAACTGTGGTGGCGCAGTGGTTAGAATGCAATACTGCAGACTAATTCTGCTGATTGCCAGCAGTTCGATCCTGACCGGCTCAAGGTTGACTCAGCCTTCCATCCTTCCGAGGTTGGTAAAATGAGGACCAAGATTGTTGGGGGCAATATGCCGACTCTATAAACTGCTTAGAGAGGACTATACCACTGTGAAGTGGTATATAGGTCTAAGTGCTATTGCTATGTTGGCTTGCATATCTTGTGAAATAAATAGCTTGGTTAAGAGATCGGAATGCTTTAAGAAGATAGAATTCTCTCTTCCTCATCTATGCAGTTCTTCTGAATTGTTCAGAAGCTGGAAATGGTGCTATCTCCCATTATTGTATCCTATTGTTCTCAACCTTGGCAACTTTAAGATGTGTGGACTTCAGCTCCCAAAATTGAAATATACAGCACATTACATGGTATGTTTTGTTTTATCTTACAAGCTTGAAACTCCGTCTGTATTGCTCCCCCGTGACAAAAGAATTGCTACTGTCCAGCCCACGATACACATTCTGGGAAAATTACATTGTAAGTTACCTGTTTCTTGTACGTGTTTATTACCTATAAATGCTACAAAGGCAATAAGAAACTCTAGTTCCCCCTACATCTTTCTGTTATAAATATTCCCACACTAGGAGTGTCATAAATATATCTCTTTTCTCAGCGTTGATCTGTCTATTGTGGTTTCTATGATTTAGGTCACCTTGGAAGTTGAAACACCGACGCAAATTTCTCTCATTGAGGAAGCATCAGGCGAGGTGGGATGCTCAGTTGAAGCTCAATGCTTTATCTTTTTGATCGAGACGTGTGCCTGTGTTTAAAGCTTTCTAACCCTCAATTCTTGCAAAACTCCATGGACTGTCATTTTGGGGGGATATTATTTATTTTTAAAAGTAGTCCCCGAGTTACCAACCATAAGGCAGCCTGACAATGGGACTGACCTGATTTTACAATGTTTTCTGCAGCAGTTAAGTGAATATAGCAGTTGTAAGATGAACACCGCAGTCATTAAACCAGTCATGCTTCAATATAGGCATGATTTTGCTGAAAACCATAAGCAACTGCTGGTTTTTGCCTAACCCAGGGGTAGGTAACCTTGGCTCTTTTATGACTCGTGGACTTCAATTCCCAGAATTCCTGAGCTAGCCATGCTGAGGGGAAAGGGAGAGTTTCCAAGCTGAGCCATGCTGGCTTAGGAATTCTGGGAGTTGAAGTCCACGAGTCATAAAAGAGCCAAGGTTGCTTACTCCTAGCCTAACCCATTGTAAAACGCAATAACATGATGCAGGATTGAAAACAGTCATAAATGCAGCCACGTTGTTGAGCACCCAAAGGGATGGGGTGGAGGTGGGGGGGAACCATTGAAATCCAGGTCTTAAGTCTCCTTTTGTATGTTGGTCATAACTTTGATTGCCAAGAAACCGATCGTAAGTTGGGGGCTACCCATAATTCCTTTTCTAGCCATTCAGTTGAAAATCTTAAATACAAGAGAGGACAAAATTGCTTCTTTGCTTATTCTTACGACTGTTCTCACCATTAACAGAAGAAATCTATCAAAAAAAACACCCAATTCAGAGGTCACATTATGATTTGTAAAGTGTGGAACAATTCTGATAAGATCAGAAGGGGAGGTCTGGAAGACTTTGAGCTCAAATTGTTTTGCACACTCGACAAACGGGCAAACAATTCTAAGCAGGTATTTTTTATTAACTGTGACCGATAATTGGGAGACCAGATACTAGTATAAAAATTGAGAGTTTTCCATGTTGTTTTCCACCTTCCTGTTATCTAATAAAATTTGAAGCTCTTTTTTCATCTTTTCCTTCCAGAAAGAAGATATAGAGGTCACACTTCTGCCTGCTGGCCATTGTCCAGGATCAGTTATGTATGCATTTTGTTCTCCTATCAAACAATTAACAGCAATGGAGGAAATCTGTATTTTGTTTACTTTTGCCACAATTCTTTTACATTTCATGAGGATCCAAGTGTAATTAGTCTAATTCATCCCCATTAGGGAGAGGGAGGGAGGGAGGGAGGAAGAGAGGAATTTCTGACACTCCCTACCAGCTTCCCACAAGGAAATGCAATGGGGAACACAGCAGGAAATCAGAAGTTGTCCTGCTCTTACTGCTTTTGGCCCACCCTCGGTCATTCTGTTTCTTTGCTTAGGTAAGGAAATGTCTCTGAAACAATGACTCTGTCATGGTTCCAATCGACAGAGACAAGTAAAGCAGAACTCCAAGGCTTGCAAATTCCTCAAAGAACATGTTTATTGATACAGAGTATTGGTACTTCAAAAGTGGAACCAAGTCTGAAGAGATGCATAACAATTCCCCAATACAAAGTATTGGGTACAGGTGGTACCTTGCTCAATAGTAGTAACTGTGAGAGGGATCTTGGAGTCCCAGTGGACAATCACTTAAATGTGAGCCAGCAGTGTGCTGCAACTGCCAAAAAAGCCAACAAAGTGCTAGGTTGCAGTAACACAGGGATAGAATCAAGATCACGTGAATTGTTAATACCTCTTTACAATGCCTTGGTAAGGCCACACTTGGAATACTGTATCCAGTTTTGGTCACCACGATGTAAAAAAGATGTAGAGACACTAGAAAGAGTACAGAGAAGAGCAACAAAGATGATTAGGGGACTGGAGGCTAAAGCACATAAGGAACGGCTGCTGGAATTGGGTATGTCTAGTTTAATGAAGAGAAGGACGAGGGGGGACATGATAGCAGTGTTCCAATATCTCAGGGGCTGCCCCAAAGAAGAGGGAGTCAAGCTATTCTCCAAGGCACCTGAAGGCAGGACAAGAAGCAACGGATGGAAACTAATCAAGGAGAGAAGCAACCTAGAACTAAGGATAAACTTCCTGACAGTTAGGACAATTAATCAGTGGAACGACCTGCCTCCACAAGCGGTGAATGCTCCAACACTGGAAGCTTTTAAGAAGAGACTGGACAGCCATTTGTCTGAAATGGTATACGGTTTCCTGCCTGAGCAGGGGGTTGGACTAGAAGATCTCCAAGGTCCCTTCCAACTTTATTATTATTATTATCATCATTATCATCATCATTATTATTATCGATATTGATATTAATTGATATTATTAATTAATATTAATTAATATTATTATTATTATTATTATTATTATTATTATTATTATTATTATTATTATTATTATTATTATTATTATTAAGAAATCCCACCCCCAAAGCTATGCAAGCAACTCCGTATCCCCACTCAGCCAGTTGGGCTTTTCATGAAACGCCCACCCTGCGGTCTCAGGAGCAGCCGATGACCTTGGTTCCCATGAAAGAAACTCCGAGATAAAAAGTCTGCTTTGTCTAGCTAGCACAACATCTGGCTAACCCGCTCCCTCCGTGCTATGTGGCAACTAGGAATAGAAATGAGAAGGAAAAAGATGGCTGCCACCATGCTCATTCTAAAGTGGACAGACTCAACAGGGAGTGGGTTGTTTAGCAGCATATGTGGATATGAATAACCAATGAATATGTTTTCAACCAGGTTTCTCTTCCAAGGGGAAAATGGGACTGTACTGTACACGGGGGATTTCCGACTCGCGAGAGGAGAAGTGGCCCGAATGGAACTTTTGCATTCAGGAAGCAGGTGAGGCAAGCACCCCTGGCTCTTCACCGTGGAACACCCGTATTAGGCCTATGAAGAAAAGGTGGATATTGTCCCTATTTTGTGTCCTCGGTAACATGCATGGGGGCAATATGGAGGAATGATCTCAGCTCTTTAGCATGTCTTGAACTTAGTTGGTGAAAGATGCTTTGAGGATGCTACCCCTCACCAGTCCTATGAAATGAGAAACCCAAAGCCTCTTATGTATGCTTGCGTGATCCACCTCTGTGCTTTCTCTGCACTTACTGTTGATTGATTGATTGATTGATTGATTGATTGGCAGAGGAGTTGCTGAATTTTCAGAGCTGAGGGATCCATATGCCACTCCCTGCAAACTCAGTCACAGTCTATAATAAGCCAGAGAGGGTCAGTTCCGACTAGGTCAAAAGCAAAGACCCGAGTTGCTGGAATTTCATTTTAACGTGTGCCATTGTGTACACAGAAAAGTGGCAATAAAGCTTATCTGTCTTATCTAGTCTGTCCCAGTAACAAGGGATAAATGGCAACTGTCCCTCCTATCCACCAGCATGCTGAGGTTTGCAACCTGTTGCATCGTGCAGGTGGGAGAAAGGTGTGCGAGAATGGACCGTTGATTTTCCTGTCAACTGGGCTTGCATTTTGTAGCAGAATTCTTTCTCAATGGCTTTCCCAGCTTTTGCAAAAAAATTACCTACTAACAATCTGGGTCCTTGAACCAGCGTCCACGTGGCTTCCGATTCTCAGCCAAGAGAAGCTCGAAAATGAATTTATGTCCTGCTTTTCCTTCTTGAGAAATTAAATGACTTTGTAAAAGCAAATATAATATCCCAGATCCTGGCATAAACCTTATGAATTAATGTGTAGCTGACATAATTATGCCCGATGCAAGATGGATAGTCCTAGAGCAGGGGTAGGTAACTTTGGCTCTTTTATGACTCGTGGACTTCAACTCCCAGAATTCCTGAGCCAGCCACGCTGAGGGGAAAGGGAGAGGTTTCCAAGCTGAGCCATGCTGGCTCAGGAATTCTGGGAGTTGAAGTCCACCAGTCATAAAAGAGCCAAGGTTGCCTACCTAGAGCGCAACCATTCATTTAGCGACCTTTCAGAGTCACAACAGCACTGGGGAAAGTGACTTACGACCAGTCCTCACAATTACTACCAGCATTCCCATGATCAAAATTCGGATGCAGGTAATACTGTGGGAAGAATCCAGAGAAAGAAATAATATTTTGGGAAATATTAAAAAGGCAGAATATATTTCCCCAAAGGATTTTAAAGGCAGAAACCCACCTCCCCCCAATCTCTCTGCCCCAAACAGAAACCAGGTCTGGAGAAATGCAGATGTGATAATCTTGTCAGAAAGATTGGAGTCGGGAAGCTGGGATTAGAAAGACAAAGATCCTTAGAATCAACAATCCCTCATACCAAAAAAAATCCAACAGTCATCAGCCACAGCCACAGGGAAGCAGGATATGACCTTTGGGACATAATAGGATTAACCCACCACCATCAGAATACCAGAAAGGCAGACTCAGACAGGTCAAAGTTCATGCCACAGGAACAACTCCAAACAAAAGCCCAAGAAGGTATAAAAACCCATTCTCTACTACATGTGGTCAGTTTTTCCAGAGCCATCTTTCTGTCTGGCTCTCCTCTTCAATAAACTCCAACCTTCTTTCTAAAGCAGTCTCCATTTTATTTATTCCCAGCTTGGACTGGACCCTGATGAAGATCTTTCTTTCAACAATACCATTTGCAGCCTTCTTAGCTGGCTTCCAGCAAGCAAAGCCAATGGGGAAAGCCAGATTTGTTTAATGACAGTGTGATTCACTTAACAACAGGGGCAAAAATAGTCATAAGATCTGGCAGAACTCAACTGCCTTGCTTAGCGATTGAAGTTCCAGTCCTAACAGTGGTCGTAAGTCAAGGACTACTGTACTGATTCTGTGCCATTCTCTTTTCAGAGTGAAAGACATCCAGAGTGTCTATTTAGACACCACATTCTTTGATCCCAAATATTATCAAATACCAAGCCGGGTGAGTAGCGTGAAAAGATAACATTATGTATATGTAATTAAAATATGTAAATTAATACATTCTACCAGTTATTAATGATGATCAAAAGTAGGTATACCTTGAAGCATAAATGTATTAAGCTTATGAAATACATTACACCAGCCCATTTTGTTCTAACCAACATGGATAGCAATAATGTTTCATCTGCCTTCCTATTTGTGGTGTAATTTTGCTTGCCATGCTGCTGATTGCCATAATTCCACTTGAAACTCCTGGCAATTCTTACATTCAGTTCCATCTATACAAATTAATGATTCAGGCAGCCATCTAGCCAATTTAGGCCTTTTCCAATGCAACGTAATTAATTCAGGCTTATTCTGTTTTAGATTGCCGAACATTGTAAAGTCTCTGAATTACGATTATAGCTAAATTTTGCTTTATTCTAGATGATGGAGCCTGCATCTTGTCCATACTTCTTATTCCTTATTAATTATCTGGGAATCTCCGAATAGATACCAGATTGGTTTTGCCGACTTTAAAAGGAAGTGTGATGACCCAGGGCACAGCACAGAGGCAATGCAGTCAGCTGGCAGTTCAAACTGCCCTTTAATTGCTCCAGGTTTTCTCCAAATGCTCCCATGTTTCTGGAAAGCCTCAAAATAAAGGAAGACACACACCTTCAGCCGCCTCTGGCTGCAAGTAGTTTCACACACAGTCTGATTAGAAGAGTAATTTACTCAAGGCCATGGAGATAACAAAGGATGACACATACATCCAAACAATGTTGTCAGTCAGTCCAATGGTCAGGGTTTCCGGGTTTCCAAGCAGAAATCACAACACAGAATAAGAGATCAGCAACAACACACAATACTCCAAGGAATCAGCGTTTGTTCCCGACAAATGCCTCTCCCCACAGCATCTCCTTAAGTCTCAGTCTCCAGGTGTTCCTTGTGGAGAAGGGCGGGACGCTCTCCTCCCGAGTAGCTGAGCCTGCCTGTGTTGTTCCCTTCTTCTCTCCACTCTCCGTGCTCTAGGATCAGGTGGTCATCGCCTGAACTTTGTCTCTCCTGTTCATCCTGTCCCAATCCTGAAGGGCCCTGGCCTGCCTCGGCCTGCTCTTCCCCACATTCCTCTGAAGCCACAGACACCTCGACTGAGGCATGACAGGAAGTTTTTACAGTTACTTAGACACCAAGCTTATTTCAAAGGAGATTTTACTTACGATTGTAGTAAAGTGAAATCATATTGAGAAGCAGGCATGTGATGCTGATCTGCATTCATTCAAGGAGGAAAAAAAAGAATTTAACTCAAGAGTGTAGTAACATTGCATTTAAGTTAAAACCATCCTATGTACTCTTTTTCATATCAGGAAGAATGCATGAAAGGGATGATGGAATTAGTGCGAAGCTGGGTGGTCCAGAGCCCCTATCACGTGGTGTGGCTGAACTGCAAAGCAGCTTATGGATATGAGTATTTATTCACAAATCTCAGCGAAGAGCTTGGGATGAAGGTAAGACCACCTCCCTAGGTGATTCTTTTCTGAACAGGAAACGTGTAGACTTCAACTCCCAGAATTCCTCAGCTAGCCCTGGGGGAAGTCCACACATCTTAATAGCAATAGCCCTTGGACTTATATTCTGCTTCATAGTGCCTTACAGCACTCTCTGGGAGGTTTATAGAGTCAGCATATTGCCCCCCCTCCCAACAATCTGGGTCCTCATTTTACCGACCTGGGAAGGATGGAAGGCTTGAGCTGGCCAGGATCGAACTCCTAGCAGTGAGGCAGTGCAATGCTGCATTCTAATTGCTACGCCACCCCGGCTCTTGGTTTAAAGTTGCTGTTCTGTCCCAGCCTATGGCCGTCCTTGTTAAATGCACAAGGACAAAACCGCTTTTGAGAAATAGGCTGGAGACTCAGAAGAAAACAAAACCCCTTTTAATATTGGTAACAAACCTGCCAAATGGTCCAAAAACAAAAGCAACAAAACACAGTCCAAATGGAGGAAATTGTCCACACGAAACAGAATGCAAAACAGGGAATTAGTCACCGGCAATACCAACAGAACATGATCCCATGAAGTATTTTGCAACGGTTGCCTTCATCAACCAGCACGGCCCACACCTTCCCTTTTTATTAAACAGCCCCAAGGCGTGGCTTCTCAGTGCCTTCTCCTCCCCCCTTGGAGCCGCCCCATTGCCTCCCTCTGTCCTACTCTTGTTGCCTGCCTTTGCGAGCGTCTATGAAGTCTTCCAGCTGTGAGTCCTCAGAGTCTGACTCAGCTTCCCCGCACAGCTGAGTCTCAGCCTGAGCACGATTGGAGGGGCCAGGCTCTTCATCAGATTGTAAGTCCTGGAGCTCATCAGAGCCTTTCTCCGACTCTGATGGCTCTCCAGGCCCCTCCTCTGATTCCCCGGACTCAGCTTCCAGGTCCACTGGCTGGCACCGACTCACAACAGTTGCCAAGGTTTGGAAACACTGTCCTGTATGATCAGTCAGAGGCAGTCTTGAAATTCTCATGTAGAATATGAACATAGCAGTGCTATTTCAAGATATTTTTTTTCTTAGCAGTTGATTTTTAAGACATGCTTCCTGGGTGTTTTCTGTTCAAGTTGACAATATTTTACCAATAGAAGAGAATATTTGTAGCTTGGGTTTGAACTGAGGGATCTTTGGTGCTCTCTGAGGTGGGTGGTTTTCTTGCAGGGCCTTCATTTACCCAGAGGCTGTAGCACTGATGATGTTCCTTATTTGGGTAATTAAACCTCTGCAAGAAAACAACCAAGCTCAGAGGGCATCAAGCTTTGTTTTGCAACGACAAGCTTTAGGTTACAGATTGGTCTCGATCACTTGCATGTCAAAGACAAGTTGCAGGGGGGGGAGGTTTGAGTCCAGGGGATGAAAACAAAGTTATGGCTGATTCAGTAACCTGCCTTTGAGTTCTACATTACATTCTACATTCTCCAGCAACTCAGAGGAGGAACTGAGAAATTCTCTTCAAGTAATTGTCAACGCTGCTAACATCGGATGTTTTTGCTTTGACAACATATGGAGTTGCAGCCATTTTCCTTCTTGTGTTTTACTCTTAGAATTAGAGTTAGAATTAGATGATACTGGGGGGAGGAGGAGGAATGTGCATGGGAGTTTAGTTAGACATAACAATACTGTAACTAGTGTGTGAACCAAGGTTATTAAAATAAGAGATGATAAGAATTGGTGGGTTAGAGAACTGGAGGGAAAGCCTGCATTTCAAACTAATTGGAGAATGTGATTTATGACTGTAAATTAGAGGAGGGAATTGTGCTTTGATACTATGTGCTCAGGGGAGGGGAATTCAGATTTTGGCTTTGACTATGTAAGTGCCGATGTTATGCTACTCGAATAAAGATTCTTTAAGGTAAACAATGCCTCGAAGTTCTTCGAAGAGTTTCATCTGTCGGAACCATGACAGTAATTTGCTGAAAAAGGACTGCAAAGTTTCTCCCTTGTCTCTCTTCTGAGTTGTCTAAAGGACCTTTTTATGAACCTCTTGGCCTAGGTGCACGTGAACAAGTTGGACATGTTTAAACACATGCCAGAAATCCTCTACCATGTCACCACAAATCGGCATACTCAGATTCACGCGTGTCGCCATCCCAGGGTATGTATCTTTTTTAAAAAGAATGAGAGTTTCTCCCTGTTAATTTACTAAAGTGGTCCTTCTGGTAGAAAAAATCCCAAAGGGGCTTTTTTCACGAGGCAACTGGACTTCCTTGTTTTTCTTGGAAGATGTTTCCGCTTCAAAGAACTGGAGAAGCTTCTTGGATAAGAAGCGAAACGTCTTCCGAGCAAAACAAGAAAGTCCAGTTGCCTCGTGAAAACAGCACTTTGGGATAACTATGACCTAGATCAGGGGTGTCAAACTCAATTTCATTGAGGGCCGCATCAGCATTGTGGTTGCCCTCGGGAGGCCGGGTAGGTGTGGCCAGGATGGGTGCGGTCTACTGGGTGGGCATGGCTAGCTCTACATCGTTCGCTCAAGGGTGCCTGTGGGGGCTCAGCCTCTTGGCGCTGTGAGGAGAGTGTCCTACTGCCTGCCGAAACCCCTCCCCCGGAGCCCATCAAGCCGGATATGTGAAGTAGGCCAGGGCCATTTGCTGGCCACTTCCAGGCGATGGTGCATTTTTTCATTCCTCACAAAGGGGTGACACCTCCCCAGCATGCACCCAGGGGGCAGGGCCAACGCGGCAGGGGCGGGTTCCTCGCTGTTTCCAGACGGCCTTGTGGAGCTAAGACTGAATGCGTTTCAGCATAGATGGCCACTACAAAATTGTACATTGGCTCCTGGCCGGCCTGGGCCAGGGTCAAGGCAGTGGGGGCCGTTCCCTCACTGTTTCCAGGATGGCTTCGCGGGACACATGAAACCACTTCGCGGGCCGCATCCAGCCCCCGGGCCTTGTGTTTGACGTGTCTGACCTAGATCAGTGATGGCGAACCTTTTAGAGACTGAGTGCCCAAAAACTAGTCCCGCCCCTGCTCCCCCCTTCCCTGCCCCCCACCCTGCCCCCTGCCCCACCTGCCCGCAGGGCCACTCACCGCCTTCAGGGTCCACCGCAGATCACCCAGGCAGCCCAGCAGCACCATGTTGGCCACACCCTCTGCCCACGCCCCGCAACTGTGCGCAATGGGGCGTCAGGGCAGAGTCTTGTCTATGCTGCCTGGCTGCCATGTCCTTGACTGCGCTGCTCCACGTGGGCCACGCTCGGGGGCGACTCTCCTCCAGGGGGGGCTGCTGGTGAGTGGATCATGGTGGGAGGCAAGGCTGGGGCAACGGCTCCGAGTGCCGCCTCTGGCACGCGTGCCATAGGTTCGCCACCACTGACCTAGATGACTGAGAATCTTCATAGACATTTAGTGATGATGAAATGAAAACCAATCATTAATCATGGCTATTAGGCCATTATTGTACTAATATCCCAAAGGTGCTTTTTTTTTTTTCAAAAGGCAATCGGACTTTGTTTTTTTCTTTGAAGACGTTTCGCTTCTTCAAAAACTTCTTCAGATGAGAAGTGAAACATTTTCAAAGACAAAAAACAGGGAAGCCTGGAAAAAGCATTTTGAATATAAAAGGGAAGTTAAGCTTAAACAAAAACCACAAAAATTGGATGCAGGGCAAACTAATGAGATGATGATTATAGGAATAACATAAGCTGATAAAAAAAATGTTATACATAGAGATTAGTATTTGTATAAATATAAAAAAAGTTTATATTTAATCATTCATATACCGAAAATATTAAGAATTACATTTTGTTTAAGATTGACGAAGGAAAAATACAAATGGGAGAAGGGAAGATCAGAGAAATATATTATTAATTAATATACCAATTATGGGATTATCAAATTTAATCGTTACTGATGTTAATCGATTATCATTGTCTTTTTTTCTTCTCCTCTTTAAAATGTAAACCCAGACAACACGCTGTGTACCAGGCACTGGAGATTGTTAAAAACCAATAAAATATATATACAAAGGAAAAAGCATTTGGGGGACATCCAGGACCTGGATGATTGAGAATCTCCATAGGCTTTTAGCCACGATTTGATAGGGTGTTATCTGTCCATTAGGATTACGAAATGTTCCGCGGAAACCGGCTGCCTTGTGGAATGACGTCTCAGAATGGAAATGAGTTGCGTGTTATCAGTGTCAAGCCATCCACCATGTGGTTTGGAGAAAGGACACGGAAAAGCAAGGTGATCATGAGGTGAGGGTTAGGGTACGTTTTAATTTCCTCAGATTAGCATTAGAAGATTTTCAGCTCAGGGTTGAACTTTTGAGATCCTTGGTGCTTTTTGAGTTAGGTGGTTTTCTTCCAGGCATCTCATTACCCAACTAGGGAACAGTTGGTGCAAACTCCACTCCCTTGTAGCCCTGATGATGTTACCTAGTTGGGTAATGAAATCCCTGGAAGAAAACCACCAATTTAGAGAGCACCAAGGACCCCTATTTCCTGGCAAATAGATGGGGAAGAAATGGAGGTAATGACAGATTTTATCTTCCTGGGCTCCAAGACCACCACAGATGGGGACTGCAGCCAAGAATTTAAAAGACGCTTGCTCCTGGGGAGGAAAGTTATGGCAAATCTAGACAGCATACTAAAAAGCAGGGACATCACCCTGCCAACAAAAGTATGTATAGTGAAGGCCATGGTTTTCCCAGTTGCAAGGTATGGCTGTGAAAGCTGGACCATAAGAAAGGCTGAGCGCCAAAGAATTGAGGCCTTTGAACTATGGTGCTGGAGAAGACTCCTGCGAGTCCCCTGGGTTGCAAGCCGATCAACCGGTCAGTCCTAGAGGAGATCCTAAAGTTGAAACTCAAATACTTTGGCCACCTAATGAGAAGGAAGGACTCACTGGAGAAGAGCCTAATGCTGGGAAAGATGGATGGCAATAGAAGAAGGGGACGACAGAGAATGAGGTGGCTGGATGGAGTCACTGAAGCAGGAGGCGTGAGCTTAAATGGACTCCAGAAGATGGTAGAGGACAGGAAGGCCTGGAGGAACGTTGTCCATGGGGTCGCGATGGGTTGGACACAACTTCGCAACTAACAACAAGGACCCCACAAAATTAGCATTTTATCTCTATTTCTCTCTCGTTGATACTTTTCATAGCAACCTAAGAAGCATTCATTTGGCACTTCTTTTATTATTAGTTAACCTAAGTAAGGTCTAGTTCAGGGGTGTCAAACTCACAACGTCATGTGACGTGTCGCAACATATCACAACTTTTTTGCCATTGCTGGCAATGGGGTGGGTGCAGTTTCGCTATGACACCCCTGGTCTAGTTGAAATAATTTCGCTTCATTTCCAGCTGTTTCTTTCGCTACTCTGGGGTGCGGTTGAGGTGGTTCTAGTAATTTAAATTGATTCAAAGTAAAAAGGGCTTCTGTTTTTCTTTCTCGTTTCATCCTGCTCTTTACAACATATACCTGGTTTTTAATTTCTATTTGTGGAGAAGGCAGAATGTAAAAGGGGATTTGTTTTTGAATGCGTCACTTGTCTGAGTGCTGATGTCTAGGAGTTTTAGAGAATACTAAGCATAAAAATTGCCCTGAAAAAAGATTTAAAAGATTCCAAGTGCAGGCTAGTGATGGATGTTTTTTATGGTTCATCCTTTGCATCTTCTTCTTTTTTAAATAATATTTTATTATTTTTCCAATTTTACATTTAAGTATTTAAAAAGCAACGTGGTGACTGGGTTAATCCATAGTTCGATAACAAAATCTTTTGTACAAATCTCAAGTTGCAACATCAAATATTTTTTCTCTTTTTCCCTTAACATTTACTGTCTCGTATTCAAACTAGTACAGTTCTTATTATATCCTCAATAAAAACATCATTATTGCATTTATCAATAAATTTTTAGCTTATACATATCTTAATTATATTCAATCTTCATAAACAATCCATATCCTGTTATTAATTTTTACCCAAGTTTTAGTTTCTCATCAATATTCCAATTTAACCTTTGATATTTATATTTTTCAAGCCTTAGGTAACCAAGATTTCCCTTGTCTCAATTCATAACAAAATCTAATATCCAAAACACATATTTTATCTATTTGAATATAATCTTGTTCTATTTCCTAAGAGTTATCTATTTCCCACCATATTAAATCATCTAATTAATAATACAATATCCCCTTTAATAAATCAAAACCATTATGTATATTACCTGGGTTAATCAATAAATCAAACATATTCATAATAATGTTCTTTATTCTTTTAGGTCTAATTTTTAAGTATTAAACAGATTAAGTCCTTATTTTCAACTAATTTCCAAGTATTTTAAATCTAATGACCAGAATTCCCCTTATCTCAACTTCTCCCTTTAACCCTCTAATTAATAATATGAAATCCCCTCTAATAAGTCAAACTCCCAATTTTCTTCAACCTTATTCTGGCTTTCTTCCTTTGCCAACTAGCCTTCCATATCAGTGCTTTTAGATCATCAAATAGATCTCCCTCTATTATTATATATGTTAGAAGTGCAGGATCCTTGAACATCTATAAGGTGAAGCTTGTTAGAAGCTTGTTAGGAGAGCCATTAGTAAACAGCCCAACCAAAGAATCCTTAAGACCGCCCCCACCCATCCAGACAAGACACCAGAATATAAACTGACAGACAACAGCACTCCTTACTAGCACTGATGATGTTACCTAGTTAGGATAGTGAAACATCTGCAAGAAAACAAGCTCAGAGAACTCCAGGAACCACTCAGTTTTTCATCCAGAATCAAATTCCTTTTACTTCCGAATGTCATAGACTGACTAAGATTCTGTTAGAAGATGGAAGTTTTAGAAGTATCTTCTCTAGTCTTCCAGATGTGCGTTCAATTATGGTCCTCAAGGGGACACCACAATTCCTTCAGAAGGACAGGGGGTTCAGCAAGATGGCTGCAAAGAGCACTCTCTCATTCCTTAGAACGGATTTGTGGGCATATGGTTTTCAGCTTTTGTTTTTTAAGCTGTTTTAATCTTGTTTTGATAAACAGCAGAGGAAATGAATTTAATTTATGCCTTGTGTTTAGAGCCGGAACGAGTTCCTACAGAGCTTGCTTTTCATTTCACTCTTCTTATAGCGAGGTACGTGGTTCCAGTTTTGTTTTGTTAAATGACATTCCCTGTACGACACAATTGCCATGGGCAAGGGTTTTATTTATTTGATTTATGCGCATCCCCATCTCGCCTTCTGAAAAAATCGTTGTGGACACACTGCGAATTACAAGTAGCCAGTTTGTGACCGCAGTTGAGCCCAAACTTTCTGTTGTTAAGTGGGACATTTGTTAAAAAGAGTTTTGCCCCATTTAAGTGAGTCGTTGCAGCTGATAAATTAGTAAACCAGTTGTTACGGGATTCTGGCTTCCCTCACTGATTTTGTTTGTCAGAAGGTCACAAAAGGGGATCATGTGACCCCGGGATGTATCAAAGGTCATAAATATGAAACAGTTGCCAAACATCTGAATGTTGATCCCCTGACCATGGCGTCGTGGAAAAACCCAGTGAAAAAGACGAGAGACAGCAGCACAAAACAATCATTCTTACTTTAAGATTCAGAGGTTTGTTTTGCTAATGATTTGGAACATAGCAAGCATAATAACACAACAGCATTTACATTAATAACCCATTGCAATGAGGACCATATGGCAGAGCAGATTCCAAAAGGACAGCTATAGGCCAATGCAAATCAGTCAGGTCCAGTCCCCACCCTTTATACCCTTTCTCGTTCTAAGACTGTAGGCCAGACATGTCAAACACAAGGCCCGGGGGCCGGATGCGGCCCGCGAAGTGGTTTCATGTGGCCCACGAAGCCATCCTGGAAGCTGTGAGGGAACAGCCCCCTCTGCCTTGGCCCTGGCCCAGGCCAGCTGAGAGCCAATGTACAATTTTGTGGTAGCCATCTATGCTGAAACGCATTCAGTCTTAGCTCCATAAGCCCCCCCACATGGCCTGAGAGGAACAGTGAGGCTCCTCCAGTGGACCATGCCTTGGCACTTGCCCCGGTCCCACCCCCTTCTGCCAGAGACCCTCAGATCTGTCCCACTCCTGCCCAGGCCCCCACAGGCACTCTTGACGTGAACGGTGTAGAATTGGCCACTCCCACCCAGTAGTCCACGCCCACTCCATCCACGCCCACCCAGTAGGCCCAACCCACCCTGGCCACAACCACCCGCCCCCCCCGAGGGCAACCGCAATGCTGATGCGGCCCTCAATGAAATTGAGTTTGACACCCCTGCTGTAGGCAGATGATCCGCTGACTTTTGCTGACTTTTTACTGACCTGCTGAACATAACTTTCCACATACACCCGTGTACATTGGAACCCGCATCCATCAGCTACTTTCAGCTCCTTATTTCTTACTGTTCCAGTCCTTATGTTCTAAATATACACAGAACTGCCTACTTTGCAACTTCATATTGCACAAAGCTCAGCAGATTACAAATAATACGTCCGTATTGTGAAACAATAATAGAGTTCGTGTTAAAGCTTTGTTTTAAATCATTACTGTGGGGCCTACCTCAGGATTGTTCCCGCCTCATCTTGTTATATGAGGAGGGGACTATATTTTCATCTCCCACAATGGGGATGCTACAAAGGTCATAAATGTGAAAAATGATCATAAGTCACAAAGGTGGTTTTTCAGGAGGCAACTGGATTGTCTTGGGGTTTTTGTTTTTTTTAAGATGTTTCGCTTCTCGTCCAAGAAGCTTCTTCAGCTTTGAATTTGTTCTGAAAGAGCTGAAGAAGCTTCTTGGAGGAGAAGTGAAACGTCTTCAAGGAAAAACAAAGTCCAGTTGCCTCCTGAAAAAGCACCTTTGGGACAACCATGACCTGGATGACTGAGAATCTCCACAGACATCGGTCATAAGTCACATTTTTCAGTGCTGTTCTAACGTTGAATGGCCGCTAAACAATCTGTTGTAAGTCTAGCTGTGCTTCTCAAGCTGTTGTAAATCACGATACAAGAAATCAAGGCGAGGCATTAAATATTATCAATGCATCTTTTTTCTCTCTCTTCAATCCGCTGTTCTAGATCCAAGACTTCCTGAGCTACGTTTGCCCAGTGAATGTCCACCCCAATGTAATTCCACTGGGATCAAACAAGGAACGAGTTGAAGAAAAGTAAGGGTTCTTTCCCCCCCCCTCTATAATACAAATAGTGTTCAACTTACAACTGGTCAGCTAGCGACTGTGCAAAATTACAACGGACGTCCCTGGGAAGCTACTCACGATCCCGAATTTGAAGTTCAAATGATTGGTCCCCCCCCCCAATAGTTGCCTGATCAAATTTTGGGTGCTCAGCAACTGGGCCACATTTTATGCATTTTATGATGTCTTTTTCTGAAAACTAGTGTTTACCTCGTTTTCAGCAAAACTGCAAAACAGCAACAAAAGTGTTGGTTCAGTTTATGACTGCTGTGTTCACTTAATCGACCCCTGCAAAAAAAAAAAAAAAAGAGAGAGAGAGAGAGAGAGAGAGAGAGAAAACTTGGGTCGGTCATTTTACGACCATCACAAATTGCAACCGCGATGGGAAAGCTCCATAACAATTGTTAAGTCGAGGACTATCTGTATTGGAATCCACATCAAGCTGACCTTCATTAAACTTTTCATTGGATAGTTGCATCGAAAATACTTCGATAATGGCTTGCCATCTTTTCAGATAAGGGTAGTTTTTGCAAGCCAAATGGCTTGACTCCAAAATCAGAGTATTCAGATATAATCTAAATTTGATTAAATTTATCTAAAATTAAGTAAGACAAGGTGATTTGTTTCCAGTTCAGTACATTTCGTGTTTTCCCCCTTCCGTCCCCTTTAAGATTTTCACTTTGTAAAACTGTGCCATTTTTTTTATTATAAATTTTATTGACAATTACAACTACATAATCGAAAAGCAACGTGGCGACTGAGTTACAATAATCCAATTACATACAAATATGATTGGTACAAACCTCAACCTAATACAGTAAATATTTCCTCTCTTTTCCTCTTATTGTCTCATATTTGAATTAACACAATTTTTATTCTAATAATCACATAGAAGCAACTTTCTTCCATTTTTTTCAGTAGTGTTTAGTTTATATATATATATCTTATTTATATTAACACTCAATCTTTTTGACAGTCAATAGCCTAATGACTTTCCCCCAATTTTGATTTACCATTAACATTTAAATTTAACATTTAATATTGTTCATTTCCAAATTATAAATGGCCCCAATTCCCTTTATCACAATTCCTCACGAAATCTGATGTTCAGGATACACATCCTATCTCTTTACGTTCTTGCCATTTACATCAACAAATTAATAATACAGTATAATATTTTTATTTTCTACTGATTTCCAAATATCTTAAATTAATAACCAAAATTTCTTTTATTTCAATGTTTTAATATTGTGCCATTTTTAACTCTCCTCAGCCTGAAGCCCTTCCGCAGAATGTACAGGCAAAATAACGGGCCCACATATAAACCTCTCGGCGTGTTGAAGAGACCGAGGGCCTCGGAGCTACCGGACACCAGTAAGATGAAAGGACACCTTCCTAATTTTTTTTTATATGTACAGGTGGACTTCGACTTACAACAGTTCGTTTAGTGACTGTTCGAAGTTACGATATCACAGAAAAAAATGACTTACCACCATTTTTTCACACTTACGACCGTTGTGGAAACCCTGTGGCCACGTGATTTACATTCAGATGTTTGGCACCTGACTCATATTTATGACAGTTTTCAGCGTCCCTGAGTCACGTGATCCCCTTTGGCGACTTTCTGACAAAGTCAATGGGGAAGCAGGGTTCACTTCACGACCGTGTTACTAACTTCACAACTGCAGTGATTTCCTTAATAACTGTGACGAGAAAGTCTCAAAATGGGGCAAAACTCACTTAACAAAGTGTCTTGCTTAGCAACATAGATTTGGGGCTCAATTGTGATTGTAAGTAGAGGATAGCCCAGGGGTAAGCAACCTCGGCTCCTTTATGACTCATGGACTTCAACTCCCAGAATTCCTGAGTCAGCCATGCTGAGGGGAAAGGGAGAGGTTTCCATGCTGAGCCATACTGGCTCAGGAATTCTGGGAGTTGAAGTCCATGAATCATAAAAGAGCCAAGGTTGCCTACCCTGTAGTGCTGGCTAGGGAATTCTGGGAGTTGACGTCCACATATCTTAAAAACACGGTTTTAGACATAATCTTTTATTAATTTGATTTTTGTCTCCACTTTTTCTCCCATATACCTTATTCCAGTTTCCCCCCCACACACACAGCCCTGTGTGGATGGGGTTGGGCTGACATGATGACTGGCCCCAAATCACTTCATGAGTTTCTGTGGCAGAGGCTAAATGAGAAACTGACCCTCTGCAAGACCCACCAATACTTTAGCGACCAACCATTCAGTTCCCCCTATCCAGGAGAATCCTGAGCTGCTAAATGCTGAAAGCTTGCAAACTCAAAAATTCCTCCCATGCAGAAAATTAGCACGCCTGAATGAGGGTTTTGAGCAACCAAGATTAGGTTCTGAATTAATCCTGAAAAGGATTTTTTTTAAAAGATTAATTTGCTTTTTGTTTTTGGTTTTGACAGATGGTGGTGGGAGCGATGATGAGGATCTCTTCGATTCCGAACGGATTCCCACGAAGAACAAGATTCCCAAATTACTGCCAGAGACTGGGCCCACGGAGAGCAAGCCGCTTCCTCCAAATCATGAAGAAGACAACAGTTGTAAAGCCGCTCTGATACCTACCTCTTTACAGGTTGATTTTGTGGAGTGTGAAGAATCTAATGGCGAGGACGAGGAAGAGGAAGAGGAGGAAGAACATGAGAAGGAGACAGCTCTTCCAGAAAGTCCATTACTGAGGACAGACTCCATTGCAGCGTTGAGGCACCCCAACAGCCTTGTGGGTTCAACCGGGAAACACAATGAAGACCAACAGCAAGCTAACTTGGAGGTGCCAAAATGGGATAGTTTTTTTAGACGTCCTTCAGAAGATCCAGAGACCTCTGACCACGAGGACCACCAGCCATGCAGAGACTCAACCGAGCAGCATTCTCCTTGCCCCTACGATGACGACGACGATCTGAGTGATTCAACTCATATCTCTTCTCAAAATTCTTCTCAGTCAACCCATATCTCTGAACAGGGTAGCCAAGGATGGGACAGTCAAGCCGATACCGTCCTCGTTTCCTCCCAAGAGCGAAGGAACTTTGAGTTTAGCCCTTCCAAGGGAGGAGCTGAAAGAAGGACGACCCACGTACCTCATCGCCTTGCAAAGAAAACGGGCTGGCCAAATAGCCAGCCTTTAGATCGTGGTGCACCTTCTGCAGATCCCTTGGAATGCAAAGTCAGATATTGGGGCACAGCAGCTCCCGGTGAAAATGAACCATTAGATGAGAGGACCAAACCAGAAGGCAGGTCGGAAACGCTCAATCCAGAGGTCCAAATTGACTCCCAGGGCTCTTCAGATTTTGAAGTCCCACCTACTCCCGGGGCTGAGATTCCTAAACCGGAGCAACTCTCCAGCCTGTACCAAAAGCTGGCAGCTGGAGAAAATTTCCACTGACTGGGAAAAAACAACAGGACCTAAAAGCTTTTTTAGTATCCTCTTCTGCCTCCCTAAATATTAATTCATGCCCAATTTAAGGTTTTATTGAAAAAAACTGGCGGCAGGTCCAGATGCCTAAAATGATACTTTTTTTTCCACATCGTTTGAGGTTAACACCAAAATGGGGAAGGTATCTGTGCAACCGTTAAATTCCAGGATCTGCCCACTTAGGAATACTGAAAGCCAGTATCCATCCAATGATATAAAAAAAAAAAAAGGCATTGCGTTTTTGTGTTCCAAATGAACATATGATGAGTTTTTTTCTTCAGAAAGACCCGCCGGATGTTGATGTGAAGCATTTGGGCATCTGTTGCAACAAGGAAAGAAATGGAAGCTCGGGGGACATTTTTTGTCATTCCGTCTTTTCATCGCCACAAGAGGATAAGCCTTATTTCTGAGGCTTTTCATGGCTTTCCTGCACTTTGGAACCCATCAGCTGTAGCTAGGCCAGGGGTAGGCAACCTTGGCTCTTTTATGACTCGTGAACTTCAACTCCCAGAATTCCTGAGCCAGCATGGGGGAACTATGGCCCCATCATGACTCATGGACTTCAACTCCCAGAATTCCTGAGCCAGCCATGCTGAGGGGAAAAGGAGAGGTTTCCAAGCTGAGCCATGCTAGCTCAGGAATTCTGGGAGTTGAAGTCCACGAGTCATAAAAGCCAAGGTTGCCTATCCCTGAGCTAGACCAATCAAGGTTAACAGCCTTGAGCTTGTTTTAGCAGTGTGCAGTTGGTGAAAAATCCATGCTTTGTTCCAGTTTTTTTTATTCAGTAGCCCATCAGAAGTTTAGTTCTACCAGGACTAATTAGATTCTGTTCTTGACATATCTAAAGATGCATCTTCCACAGCTTAGTTTTTCTTCCACTGGCTGTTGATGAATCCTGAAGATTCCATAAGTAACCCCTGGCCTGCTGCCTTCACCCCAAAATTGCCAAGCTTAGACCTTTGGGCCAAGCTCCTTGACCTGCAGGCAGGACACACACACCCCCCATTTTATTTCCATGTAATGGCTACCATTTTCTAGTATTCTTAAGTTCTGAGGTTTCCAGATCTTGAATGGCAAGAAATGCTGAATGCCTTCCCATGTACAAATGTCACTATGGTATTTAAGGAGCTGGTTCTCTCCTTCTGCTTTACTAATGGATCAGGGACCACTGTGTGATAATTCTGCCTAGGTTAGGTGGAACCTCTCTGCCTTTTTCTTCTACGGCTTCTATCACGTGCTCAAAGTTTGTTTCTCCTGCCTTTAAATCACCTCACCAGTCAGGCGTCAAAACTTCTCTATTAACCAACGTTAACAAGAGGCGTGACTCTGACTGCTGCCAAATTCTTTTCTACAATACACTTATGTTCATCCATAAAAGAATTTCCCAGAGTTCATTTGTTCATATATCTTCTGTGTTTTGTTGTCTGCAGTTCTGACTTTTCCCCCCCCATGGCTTTCCCACTGAAGGTCCGTGTCATTTGTGGCCTATTGTTATATGAAGTAAGACTGAACAAACTTCCAGGATTATGCCTATATGAAACTGGAAGCCATTATTAAGCTTATGAATAACCTTTTAATGTACTGTAACATGGGTTTAATCATGCAAAAACCAAAAAACCATTAATGGGGGCTCAGTTCAGCCCATCCTCATGATCATGAGTCACTCGGAATACAATTTCTAGTTACAGTAGTGGCCAAAATTGTGGAAACCTTTTGGGAAAAGTGTTCAGTAGAAATGCCACTAATTTTTCTTCTAATTTCTTTATAACTGTAGCCTTGTTCAATTAATAATACTATTTTACATCGCTTTCTGGGCGACCAGTCAACTCTTTGCACAATGACTTTAATTTTATTACGTTTTACAAGCTCACTAAATGAAAGTGCACAAAAAAACCCAACCAACTTGATGGGGATCACATAACACACTGACACATGTCCTCCTCTCAGCTTCAATACATGACATCAATCACTGAATCCTACTGTGATCTGATTGGCTCATTGCCAAAACAAGATGACACCTGATTGGCTCTCTAAACACTCATGCTCATTGGCTCAGATGAAGGAAAGTTACCCAATATCAACCTAAGCAAGTTGTGCTTCCTTTTTCTGGTTATTTGGCTACAACTTTTCATAGAATACAGTACAGATAATCAAACAAACTTTGTTGCATTACATTCTCGATTAAATTATCTTTCCATTGATATATTTTATGGTACCACTCCCCCCCAAAAGGGTGTTATTAGTCATCCAACCTCAAAAATACACTTTTCCCAAAAGGTTTCCACAATTTTGGCCACTACTGTAGTTGTTTTTAACTTCAGTGATTTCAGTCACCAATGACGGCCTTATGATGAATATAAAAACATAAGGGTTTATTATTCACAAGTAACAGAATAGATTCTCCAATGTACACGGTTCACAAACTGAAATGAAGCCAATTTGCCATTATGGGTTTGTAGGTATGTGTACTTCTCCATTAAAACAGTTTACAGTTCATAGTGAAGACGCCTAGCTATTATCGGTTCCTCTGAAGAATGAGACCCAAAGCTGTGTGTGAAAATAAAATTTACTATAACTGAGAAAAGGGGCTTTCTAATCATGCCTGTGAGGCCACTTCCACAGTGATGGCTTCTGATTTTCCAGTGTCTTGATCTGTGCAGGTTACGTGTAATGATCCGTCCCTGAGAAAAGAGAGAAATTTTATCCTCACTTCCTAAACACTTAGATCAGGGATGTCCAACTTTGGCCACTTTTAAGACCTGTGGACTTCAACTCCCATAATTCCCCAGCCAGTCTGGGAGTTGAAGTCCACAGGTCTTAAAGTGGCCAAAGTTGGACACCCCTGATTTAGATCTTCGCAACAGCAATGGTGTATGGATCAGCATAAAACGTTTGGTTAAACTCTAGGGTCCCAGAAATTGGTGTGAGAGGGACGGAAGAATGACACTATATTGTATATCTGGCTTTTATATATATGTTAATCCAGGAAGGGCCTCATTATTATTCATTTCTTTCTTAAAAGCAACAGCCTCCTAGGAACTGTTCATCCATGCAAGGATGTTGCAGCTGAAAGGAGGACCACCACGGGTAGTTCTTGACGATCAGCCGTTGTAACGATGGTTTGCAGTTACAACAGCCATAGAACAAAGGTTTTATGGCTTACAGAGCATTTCTGGGCTGTTATACAATGTGGCACTGTTCTCCCCCCCCCCCCCGTCACGTGACTCTGTACTTATAACTGGTTGTCAGGTGCCCTGTGAGCATGTTCTAGACCAGGGGTCGGCAACCTTAAACACTCAAAGAGCCACTTGGACCCGTTTCCCAGAGAAAACATTGGGAGCCACAAAACTTGCACGAGGGAGGGGGGACTTGATTGAAGAGTTTAATTAAAAAGAAATAGAGGCTGCTGTGCATGAGTTCTCTCTCTCTCTCTCCCTCCCTCCCTCTCTCGCCCCCCCCCCTCCCTCTCTCCAATCTTCTGCTCACCTGGCAAGCTGGCTTCACGCTGTCCTCTGACAAGCTGACACACATTTTTATTGGGCTGGCTCTCTCCTGCCCTTGGTCTGCCAGTCCTCTTCCCCCACTCAGTGTGAGTGTGTGTGTGTGTGTGTGAGAGAGAGAGAGCTGCTACTTCCTGCGGAGGCGCAGCAAAGGCAGGAGCCCCGCCCAATAAGCTTGTCAGCTTGTCCGAGAACAGCGTGAGGCCACTCTCTTTTTTACACACACACACACACACACACACACACACACACACACACACACACAGAGGGAGGGAGAGGGAGAGAGAAGGGAAGCGCAAGTGCCCCCCCTCTGCAAATGACACAGGAGGCTGAGAGCCGCAGAAGGCTCAAAGAGCCACATGCGGTTCCGGAGCCACGGATTGCCGACCCATGTTCTAGACTGAGCATCCATGTCATCTTTCCAGAGGGGAGCAGAATGCCCATTCAAAATGTAAGAGGGAGTGAAATTTGAACAGGAAAATTAGAATTGCCCCATAAACCTCCCCTCCAGGGTCCAGAATATATATATATGTGTAGAATCTGTTATCTTCCCCCTCTCCCATAAATGTCAATATGAAAATCATCAAGTCCCGAGATGTAAAGTCCATAAATACTCATGGTTCTGACCCACAGAATAAGATTTTCATTTTCAGTACCTCTTCATTGTAAGGATAGCTAATATATGATGCAGACCTTCTTCTTTGACATCTAAATCCTGGAGCACAATCTGTTAAAAACAAGCAACCACAAATATATCATTCAGCTAAAACAAGGTTTTGAAATTACTATTAAGGATGAAGTTTGCTTTAACCCTCCACTTGGACTAAATAACAAAGGACATCAGTTCTTTTCACAGAGGTTTAAGGTCAACAGTAATGGAACTTCAGCAAGCTTATGCTGGAAAATTCCATTTATTTTTTTTTTAATTTGGGGGATTTGAGAAATCAGTCAAATCTTATCAAAAAAATATGAGATACATAGCAAACCTTAAAAAAAAAAACCAAATTTCTAAAAAAAATACCAAATAAGGCTATTTTTCCCCCTAAAGATGTATTTCAGTGGAAATCCGTGTTCCCCCCCCAAAGTGGAAAAACAGCCTTCATTTAAATCTTGCCCTCTCCCTGTGATATTACAAGATTGCAATCCTTAAAAAAAATCCCCGTAACTAAACTCTAAATACTAATGCTGAAATGTAAATAAATTTGAAGGAACCAAGCATGAATTTTTGTATAGAATAGCTTTGAAAAGCACCTATTTCCTGAGCAAATTTTGGGGGTCATTCTAAATCGTGCCTTTTATACCAGATTCCAGTTCATAGATCTCAGGTTTCTAGTTAAAAAAAAACAAAACAATTCAAGCATGAACCTCGATCAATAAAATATTCATAGGCCTGTAAGGTCAAAAGTGATCTTCACTAAAAACAGAAATTTCCTTCTGAGCAGATATATAACGGCACTGTAAAAAAAATTAACACGCTTTTCTTTACCTGTGCAAATCTCTCGTCTTCTTTGACTGGACCCTTTTCCAGAGACTCGTACAATTCCAGACAGACGGAGGAAATTTCTCCTGGGGCCTCCAGAGTGTGCTGCCTTCGAGCTGGCAAAGGCGTTCCTGATGGGAACACCACGAGGAATTTGTCAGCCCCCAACTGGTCTACTGCCTGGAAGGATGAAAAAAGCCTTGAAGAAGTTTTACTCATTGACGGGAGAGCCGTCTCCAACAGACGCAGAAAGGGCAGCGCTACTGGCCAATCTTTAACAAATTGTGAGTGGAAAAACCACTGAACAGTCAGAAAGAGCCTAGAACAGACATGTCAAACACAAGGCCCGGGGGCCGGATGCGGCCCGCGAAGTGGTTTCATGTGGCCCGTGAAGCCATCCTGGAAACAGTGAGGGAACGGCCCCCGCTGCTTTGGCCCTGGCCCAGGCCGGCCGGGAGCCAATGTACAATTTTGTGGTGGCTATCTATGCTGAAACGCATTCAGTCTTAGCTCCACAAGGCCGTCTGGAAACGGCTTGGTGCCGCAGGTGCTCGAGGGCCAAGCTGGGCGTTTGACCTCTGCTGCTCAGGGCTCCGGGCAGCTCACGCCACCATCCAGCCCCCCATGCATGGCCTGAGAGGAACAGTGAGGCTCCTCCAGTGGACCATGCCTTGGCACTTGCCCTGGTCCCACCCCCCTTCTGCCAGAGACCCTCAGATCTGTCCCACTCCTGCCCAGGCCCCCACAGGCACTCTTGACGCGAACGATGTAGAGCTGGCCACGCCCACCCAGTAGGCCACACCCATTCTGTCCATGCCCACCCAGTAGGCCGCACTTACCCTGGCCACACACCCCCGCCCCACCGAGGGCAACCGCAATGCTGATGCGGCTCTCAATGAAATTGAGTTTGACACCCCTGGCCTAGAAGGTGACAGTGGCCGAACTCCATATTTTATACTGATTTGTGACACATTGTGCCCCTGTTCCTTGGAGGAAACTGAATAACATACATCCACTTTAGTTGCCCCTTTTATCCAAATTGGCTCAAAAACTCAAATGACACTTCTATAGCTGTCTAACACAACAAAGCAGAGGCCAATCTGGTTCTTTCCTGCCTAGCAGACACTTCAGAGATGAGCCCCCCCATGCAAGCAGATGAATTTATGTTAATCCCATTGTGGTTTATTGCAACATCGCTTTAGTTTTTCTTATTCCCTGTTCAGAATATTTTGTATTATGATGGGGCCTATCTTTTTATCCTAAGGGTTTTCGAACAGTTATTTAATTTTGGTCAGTGAGTGGCGTGGTGGCCTAGAGGTGAAAACCCTTGTCTCGCAATCAGGAGGTTGTGAATTCGATCCTAGGTAGCGGCAGAAATTTCTCTCTGGGGCGCAAAGGGAAAATATCTGCATAGGTGTCAGGAAGGGCATCCAGCCAGTAAATGCTCAGCTCCATTCAGCTGCCCCAACTCCACCCTGATGCAAAGGATTACAGGGTTGTCAAAAAAAAATTGGTCAACAAGTTAGGGACGTCACATTTGCAGCATCTCTGTAACCATCTTACCTTGACTAGTATGTCCTTGGCAGAACATTCAATGGACAGCATGTCGTCATCTGAAAATATCTGCTCTCTGCCAAGCAAGATTCCTGCTTCTGTGGCCGCTCCGATAGGGATGACCTCATCGGGAGGGATGGAGTTTAGCAGTTCAACATTAGGGAAAAGTTCTCTGATCATTTGTTGCAGTTTTGGAATACGGGCTGATCCACCACAGAGAACCACCTAGAAGATTGAGAAGCAAGTTTTTTTTAAAGACACAAAAGTTAAATGAGAATTGGTTGTTAGACAAGAGTTTGATGTGGTGAAGGCACCAGGCTAGACACTGGGAATTCTAGCCCTGCCTTAGGCATGAGGCCAGCTGGATGAGCCTGGGCCAGTCACCCTTTCAACCCTAGGAAGCAGGCAATGGAAAACCACTTCTGAAAAAATACCTGCCAAGAAAATTGCAAGGAGTGACAGGGTCCAAGCAGTCTCAGAGAATCACACACAACTGAACGGAAGAAAGAGATAAGGCCATCTGGGCCACAGAAATTAATTGGTACCAAATAGAAGGGGTTTTTTTGGTATTACTTTGGGGCCGTCTAGCGTTTTTCTTGATTTCTGCAATGCTGATACTATTGTGCTACCATAAACATAACTAGTTCATTTCCAAGATATAAATGATTAAGTGATAATATAATTTGCAGCATCAAAACGAAACAAAACTACTCACCTTGTAAATCGCGCTTGGTCTTACCCAGACAATCGTTACTGTGTGAACATTTTACTCAATGTTGTAATGTTCCTCATTCTACAGGTAGTCCTCTACTTATGACCATTGATTTAACAACTGGTAAAAAGTTATGGTGGTGCTGAAAAAAGTGACTTGCAACCAGTCCACACACTGAGGACTGTTGCAGCCTCCCCACAACCACATGATCAAAATTCAACTGGCTGAATATTCAAGCACTGCACCACCCCAGGCTTATATGATCCCAGTTTGTGACCTTCTCTGGGCTTCTGACAAGCCAAGTGATTGGGGCAAGTTGGAGTTGCTTAAAGACCAAAGCAAAAAGGCCAAAAAAACCCCCACAAAACAAAACCAGGAGCGACTCACTTAATGACCGCATCGCTTAGCGGCGGAGGTTCCGGTCCCAACTGTGGTCATAAGCCGAGGACTACCTGTAATGACATTTACAGGTTCACAAGGACAAATCCCTATTTCTGCCTCTCGTTTCAAGATTGTACATTTTATGGTTAGTTATGTACAACAACATGGTTTGAGCCCTGCAAATATTGGCCCCATTCTGACATCCGGTCAAAGATCTGAAACGTAGCAATGCATCCATTCTGGAATAAGTGTTATGTCTAAAAGCTTTCCTTTGACTTCGATGTTAAATTCTAGTTTATATTGAGCCAGCATTCCTCATCACATCTACACCAAGAAACCCCCACTTCCCTAAACCCTTCAAAATCTAGAAATTAAATGAGGGGAAAAAATGAATAAAAGGACACCCTCACCTTGCTAATATCATCCGTCCCAAGTCCTGCTTGTTCCAACAATTTTTTGATCGCTTCAATGCACTTAACAAAAAGTGCAGTACAAATAAGTTCAAATCGGGCCCTGATGTAGAATTAAAAAATAAAAAATAAAATCATTAGATGGTCAACCTTTTCTTGCACACTTTCTTGTCGTATTGTGGTGTGGAATAGAGCCTGGATTCCCAGAGGGAGGGGCTCCTTCCCAGAGGACAAAGAGGCAGCCAGGTTTGGACTTTCTGGTGGGCAGGAAGAGGGAGAAGACGGCTCCTCTCTAGGAGTTCCCAGAGTGTATCTATAGTTAGATGGATAATTGTCTTACTCTGGCAAGATTCTGTCTGTAGGCAAACAACAATAAAGAAACTATTCAGAAGTAATCCACGTCTCAGTCTTGGTTCTTGAGCCATGTACATATTGTCTCTTGCTTATTTTATCTTCTGAACTGCCAAATGGTTTTAGAGATTCAGCAGTCTAGAAATGCCATTAATAACGTGAACCATCTGCAGGAGATAAAGATTGCTGTGTCTTCTACTAATTCCTACCTAATCATCTACCCATTTCCTGCAGGACCTACTGTTGAAAAATAGGAATATGAAAACTGACATGACATGATAGCAGCATTCCAATATCTCAGGGGCTGCCACAAAGAAGAGGGAGTCAAGCTATTTTCCAAAGCGCCTGAAGGCAGGACAAGAAGCAACGGATGGAAACTAACCCAGGAGAGAAGCAACCTAGAACTAAGGAGAAATTTCCTGACAGGGAGAACAATTTATCAATGGAACAACCTGCCTCCAGAAGCTGTGAATGCTCCAACACTGGAAGTTTTTAAGAAGAGACTGGACAGCCATTTGTCTGAAATGGTATAGGGTTTCCTGCCTGAGCAGGGGGTTGGACTAGATGACCTCCAAGGTCCCTTTCAACTTTATTATTATTATTATTACTATTATATTAAATATTGGAACAGTTTTGAACTTCAAAGACATGCTCTGCGCTCAAAACAGCCTTTCCTGACCATTCAACAAGCGCCTAAATTTGAAATAGCTGTTTCCAGCTCAAAACGCTAACAAAACGATTGAAAAGGCCTGCTTTGAATGTTTACAAGCTTCAAATTCAAAACATTTTATACATGCCTGCCTGTTGACGAGCCTCCTCTATGAAAATAAAAAGAAAAAGGATGCCCCCCCAGAGGCTAGAAAAATATCAAAGCGTACCTGGAAACATTACAGTCAAAATCCATCCCATCGTAGAGGGAGTCCACAAAACAATTGGCGGTTCCCAGGGTGGATAATGAATGTTTTGCAACTTCAGCACTGTTCATTAACTTCATCATAGCCCTGGGATTTCCTCTCACATCATTTCTATAGCATCTGTTTTTTTTAAAAAATAATAATAATGCAGTTATTAATCACAACAAAACATATAGTTAAGCTAGCAACTATTTATCCTGGATGTTTGAGGGAGATGGGCAGTCCAGAAATGCAATAAAATAATAAAATAAAATAAAATAATAAAATAAAATAAATAAAATAATAAATAAAATAAAAGCATTAAAAAATTAAAATGTTATTTTGGTTCCAATCTATTAAGTATAAACAAATCAAGCATGATGCTGATATTAAAAGCTGAATAGATATGTCTGCATCTAAGCCAGATATTACAAACTGAAAAATTTCAAATTATTTATATCTTTATTCTGTGCTCCTTAAACAGGCAGTTTAATAGACGTAGTTAATAACAGCGATAAAATACCTTTAATATTCTCAGGGAGATGCACATTAGAAATGACAGGCTCTTTCAAAACTCTAAAATGGAACAAAGGATCTTTCATTCTATCCTACCGAGACCATTAAAGGCAATAAAACTTATTTTTAGCTGATCTGAACAACGATAACAAAATCACCATTAGGGGGAAAAAAATCTGCAGGGATGTCAAACTGCCAGCCCGCGGGCCGGATGCGTCATGCTGAAACCGTGCCCACCCCATTGCTGGCAATGGAAAAAAGTCACGACACGTCACATGAGGTTGCGAGTTTGACACCCCTGGCATAGAGGCAGTTTTCACAACAAGCAAGCGATTCTTCACTAAACTCAACGATTTTTATTCAGGGCGAATTAACAACCATCTTCAATTTGCAATCTCGGCCTTTTCTTCCCCACAGGAGTATTCCAACTACATTTTGATTAAGTTCAGCCATTCAGATTTACCTTGAAAAGCTGCTCACCTCATTCCAAAAGGCCAGATGTGGCCAGTTTTGCTGATAATAGTTCAATGTATAAAACCTTATTACATTTATATTTCATGTTCCATTTAGGGAGTTCAAGGCAGCATATATAGCATTCTCTGGGCTGAGAGAGAGTTCCCGCCTCACCAGTGATCTTCCATAGCCAAGGACTGACTGGACCCCTCAGTTTCCACATTCCCTAGTCCAGGGGTAGGCAACCTTGGTTCTTTTATGACTCGTGGACTTCAACACCCAGAATTCCTGAGCCAGCCACGCTGAGGGGAAAGGGAGAGGTTTCCATGCTGAGCCATGCTGGCTCAGGAATTCTGGGAGTTGAAGTCCACGAGTCATAAAAGAGCCAAGGTTGCCTACCCCTGCCCTAGTCTGACACCATAAGTGTCACACCGAACGTGGTTCTAGATTTTATACCATTTACCTCTGGAATTCCGAAGCCAAGTGTTGCGCTAACGCTTCGGTAAAACAGGTCCCACCTATGCTGTCATCGGTGGTGGTAGACAGCACCCGATACAGCCCGCTGTTGACTTCTACGACCGTGATGGAAAGCGAAGCACCTCCAAGTTTATACACCAGCACGTGGCTTCCATTTGCAAAACATAAAATGAAAAAAAAAATCTCTTTTTTTTCTCAAAGTGTTAACACCATACAGGTGGTCCTCAACTTATGACCACAATTGAGCCCAAAATTTCTGTTGCTAAGCGAGACAGTTGTTAAGCAAGTGTTGTCCCGTTTTACAAACTTTGTCACGGTTGTTAAGTGAATCACTACAGTTGTTAAATGAACCCGGCTTCCCCCTTTGTCAGATGGTCGCCAAAGGGGGATCGTTTGACCCCCCGGGACTCTGCAACCGTCATAAATATGAGTCAGTTGCCAAGCTTCTGAATTTTCGTCATGTGACTGTGGGGCTGCTGCAACGGTTGTGTGAAAAACATTCGTAAGTCGCTTTTTTCAGTGCTGTTGTAACTTTAAACAGTCACTATATGAACTGTTGTAAGTCGAGGACTATCTGTAGTCTCAGGCTGATTATAGTTCTGTTATGAATGCCGTTTAGAAATTCAATATAAAATACAGGCTGAAGGGTGCCCATTTCTGATCATGATTAATCGCAAAAAAAGGCTTATTTCATTTATCTGCGACAGGGTTGAAATAAATACCAAAAAAAGGCTATTCTAAGTCTTACTTCAGTGTAAAAATTACCACAATTCCCGTAGCTGAGAAAACCTTAATCACCTTTTTCCGTTGGGTGAATCTTGTCCAATTCCATAAGCCAGCAGAGCCGCTGATGGTTCATGAATTAGTCTAAGAACATTAAGTCCAGCTGCTTTAGCAGCTTCTCTGTAACAGATATGACCACAAAAATCAGTATATTGACATAACCCTAAGAGCTTTTTTCACTAGAAAAACCGCGGATAGTTCTTGTATGTCAGCCTAGGTAAATCTAAACTAGTGACTCCCGCTCTTGATGTATAAATTATCACCTTCAGAATTACTGGGTGAGTGGAGTGGTTCTATACATTTAATAAAATAAAAAATGATAATTTCCCAGAATTTCACAACTCAACGTGGCCTTGGCAGAGACATCTGGGGTTTAGAGTTCACAAAGCTTCAAGTTACCAGGATTGAGAAATTATTTTTGAACCATTCCAGATATAAGGTGTCTTAGTATCACCTTGCTGCAATATTATGCAATTAGGGGAATGTTTATTTCATATATTACATCAACTTGTAACAGAAAAAGGGTAGCATAAAGTTTGTGCTTATTTTCACTTCTGCACCAAATTCACAACGTTTCAAATTTGCATCTACTTTTAATATATTTGCATTTCAGTAATGCGATAACTGCTATGATAACAGCAATATTTAAACACCAAATATGAGAGCAGTTGCTTTAGCGATAGATGAAAATGTGATTTGGGGTTTTAATGGTATTTCTGTACTTGAAAGTGATAGCCCAGCTAGATGAAATATGCTTTTGGGCAGTGATGGCGAACCTTTTAGAGACCGAGTGCCCAAAATGCAACCCAAAACCCACTTATGTATCGTCGAGTGCCAGGTGGGTGTGGCCCATTGGGTGGCTGTGGCCCATTGGGTGGGCGTGGCTGCGGTGGTAACGGCAGACTGGGTGGGACTAAAAAGTTCAAACAAGCAATTCCAACTTTGCAAGATCTTTTTTTTCCTGCGAGAAGTTGATATTGACTGATTGATTGAACCTTTTTTTTTTTTTGGCACACGGCAGTGGAGGCCTAAAGCGAAAAGGTTTTATAAAACCCAGCTGAAGGCCTAGGACTGGGGCGACGGCGCACGTGCCCACAGAGAGGGCTCTGAGTGCCGCTTCTGGCACCCGTGCTATAGGTCCGCCACCCCTGCTTTTGGGGCTTCATTTCAGGACGCAAGTATCCTTATTTTACAAACTCTTTTTGTATCTATCCTGGAGAAAAGCCAAACAGGGTGACTGGTAAAAGATAGTTAAAATTACTTCTAGTTTGGCTTTTCTGTTTTGCTCCTGAAAAAAATTCAAGATCAGCTGTCACTGTTTGTTTGTGACTTCTCTTCCCAAAGATGAGAACCAGAGAACAACAGGAGAAACCAGAATATCTAGCTCTTGACATTTTGTGTGGCTGAGCTGGGATTTCAAATGGAAATCGTATCCAGGCAAAATGCTCTGTCCATAGGATCTGACCCCATTAACTCCAGAATATGTATTCAGGGCAAACAAGCACATGGAACCACACTTACCCAAGGACATTTTTCTGCTTCTCTCCAAAATCAAAAGGCACGGTAATAACAGTGTCGTTGACATCAGAACCCAATGCGAATTGAGCAGTTTCTAGAGAAGCATAAAATAACATAAACAGTAAAAGCTAGTTCATTTCCTAGAACAGTGGTGGCGAACCTATGGCACGCATGCCAGAGGCGGCACTCAGAGCCCTCTCTGTGGGCACACGTGCCATGCCCTGGAGATGGCAACCGTCCCTCTTCAACCAGCTGCCCACTAACTCGCCGAGATCCCACATGGCTGGATGCATCCCAGCACCCATGCGCTCGCTGGCCTCTGTGTGCAGGGGCCAATGGTGTCAGGCAGCAGCCGCCCCGGCCCTTGCCTCACCTTGCCCTGTGACAATGGCACCTCTGCCCTGCCTCGCCTTGCCTCACCCCGCAGGACGAGCCTCCTGCCCACCGCCCCACCTGCCAGAGACCCCCCTGGATCTCCCCCAACCCTGCCCGGCCCCCACAGGTGTCCCTCCCCACGAGCAACATTGAGGTGATCACGCCCACCTTGGCCACACCCACCCAATCTGCCATGACCACCACAGCCACGCCCATCCAGTGGGCCACACCCACCTGGCACCCGGTGATAAATAAGTGGGTTTTGGGTTGCAGTTTGGGCACTCGGTCTCTAAAAGGTTCACCATCACTGGCCTAGAACTTAACTTTTTTTTTTCACAACTTGGATACCGTACCTTTCATTTTCCTGAAGATTAACTTTGCAACATCTTCTGGAGAAACGAGTTTGCCATCTATTTCATACGTAAGTTTTCCATTCTTTTCGGTGACCTACAGACAAATCAACCCCAAGGGTTCCTCAGGTCGTTAGTTGGACTACGAGAGAAGATTTTCAATGCACAAATCCCCCCCCCCCATCGTCTTTTGCTTAAGGAAACAATCTCAGCATTTCTGATCCACGCAACAATGCCAGTTAGTTTATATTAAAAAGAAATGAAGAAGTCATTTTACAGTGGCCTTTCTGAACCAGCACCTCCAAGTGTTGTTGACTACAAGGCTAGGAATTGAGGAAATTGAAGTGCAGATGATGGCTGAATAGCTGGACCACATTAAGCATGTGAAAAATCCACAAATATCACTACTCCCACAAAACAAAAAACCCTGAATATTCTTCTGACAATTTTGCAACTTAACCTCATGCATTATTATTTTTTTACCATAAGCATCTTGTTAATTATAAGAATGTTGTGCAGCAATAGCTAAAGATAACATTTCCTGACAGTTGGAACAATTAATCCGTGGACCAGGTTCGTCTCCAGAAGTTGTGGGTGCTCCAACCCTGGAGATTTTTAAAGAGATTGGACAACCATCTGTCTGAAATTGTACAGGGTCTCCTGCCTGAGCAGGGGGTTGGACTAGAAGACCTCCAAGGTCCCTCCCAACTCTGTTATTTTGTTATTCAACCTAACATCTGCATTTCAGGGAAGCTTAACATTATTTCCATTCTATCAAATTTCTGAACTTAAGAAATCAGGTTTGTTTTGTTTAATATTGCTCTATTGATGTGCTAATTCACTTGCCCTTACTCTGATTGCTCTTTTTTCCCCTGGAACATCAATCAGACTGAATAAATGGAAAGGAAAAATATTGCTCTGGCATATCCTTGTTAATGGTCTTGTATTTTTCAAACAGATATAGACAACAGATACAGGGCAGAATCATTAGTGACCTTAAAAATGTACTTTTTCTATATGTATTTCTATCTTTTATATAGCAAATAAGTGAATTGTAAAACCGTAGTAGATGACTTCATAAACAGATTCACAAATTCATAAACGACTATGGATATTCTCAATCATCCAGGTCATACTTGTCCCAAAGGTGCTTTTTCAAAAGCCAACTGGACTTTCTCGGTTTTTCCTTGAAGATATTTCACGTTTCGTCCTTCCATTCCCCACCATTTAGTCTGAAGTGAAGAAGCTTCTTGGATGAGAAGCGAAACATCTTCAAGGAAAAACAAAGAAAGTCCAGTTGCCTTTTGGAAAAAAAAAAAAGCACCTTTGGGACACAAATTCATAAATTTTCCCTATAGGAAAAATATGGCAAAGGATGCTCTCACTTACTGAACATTTACTTTCTGCAATGTATTTTTCCGCTTGTGGGTCTCCAGAGCTGAGAAAACAAGCAAAATCGGAAAGTACTTTAAAAATATTAAAACTTAGAACAAACAAAAATACGACTTTTATTTGTTTTCATTGTATGGGAGTCAAGTTTCATGAATACAGCTTTCATTCCTGGTTTAAGCAGTATAATTTCTGTACTTCTTTAAATAATGGGGAAGAAAACAAACAGATGAAAAAAACCAAATCAACACCAGCTAAACAACAACACTGAGACTTGAGTTTACAAGCATAGCCAAAAACAGATCAGTCAATAATTACATTTTAAAAGGTAACAATTTATTCAGATTGCGCACTAATGGAATACAAAGTAAACTTTAAGAGGGTATTTTACGGCATAATCCATACCTTCTTCCAAGGATCTGTTTCACTTTCACTACGGTATTTGAGAGATTTCTCACCCGGTTTTGTTTCGCTGCCAGACCAACAATCTAAGAAAAGCATTTAAGAGGGTTTTTTAGGGAAAAAAAGTTAGCCGACTCTAACCTTAAGTGTTTAACAAAAAAGGAAATTTACCTCTTCCTTTTCAGAAAACGCAACCACTGCAGGAGTTACTCGGTCCCCAGCATCATTAGCCACAACATCTGCACGGCCATCCTACAACACATCAACACACTAAGACTGGAAAAAAGTCCTTCTGTTTTCTAAAGTTATAAACAAAAGCTCAGTAGTAGATCCAGGTTTTAATTTTTTTTTTTAAAAAAGGTATGTAGATCTCAGTTCAAAAAGATACCGTGACTGATTTTCTTTACTTTGGTAGGGAAAAAAAATAAAGAGAAATCCTTACAGACCAATCTTGATTCAAATTTAGTAAGTCCATTTTGCAATTCAGTAAGTACTTATAAGATCCTACAAGCCTAATTCAATGTAGCAGAAATAAACTCAATGAGTACAGGCACACCAGTTAATAATTTGACCCAATATTATCTATTCTTCAATCATAACAAAAAATAGTTTATGTTTTGTAAATAAACAGATTAATTTCTTTTTCCTGGAAGGCGTATTACACATAGTTCTCAAGAAAACCCACCAGAAATCATTTTTTCCCCCTTAATATTGGCCTTTTTTTTAAACTTAATAAGATAAGGCAGTCTCCGAGGTGCTGAAGGACGAAAGGAAAGCGGATCCCACATCAAAGCAGGGCAAAAGCTTGGAAAACATTTCCAGGCTCATTAAAACCCCATTAAAAATAAGCACCATTCCCTAAAAACCTGACTCCCATTACAAACCATCTCACGTGGAAGACAGCGTAGACATGTGTGCCAACAGTTTAGGAGTTGCAATTTTATGGCTTTTCTGCTTTGGATTAAGGAAATATTATAAGGAATGTTGTAAAAATGGGAGCAATTCACCAAAGGGGTGCAAGTTATCAAAAACATAATTGCAAAAACAAAACACAAAAATAAACTTTTGCAATCTCCCCCAAAATCTTTTGCATTATACCTCATAAGTCTTAATTCAAGCCGGCCCCCCAGCTTCAAAATGCAACTCCCCCCACCCTGCAAAAGACCTCCCTGGAAGCAGAAAGCTAGTATCTCAGCCTTAATCCTTCTCTAACCCTGCCCTTCTTTTTGTAAATTATACCTCTTCCATTCACTTTGATGCAGGAGAGCCATGCACCCCTCCCAGGAGAAAGACCCCCCAACCTCACCCCAGAGGCCTGGCTCTCTCCCTGCCCCCTCGCGTAGAAAGCTAGCATCTCAGGGTCTCTTTGCTCCCAGGACCCTCCCTTTTCTTCCAAGGAAGGTTTTACTCCCGTTTCATCTTTTTTTAAGGAAAAAAACGACCCCTCCCCAGTAAACCTGCCCCCCCCCGCCGCCCCGAGCCCCCTCCCCACCTTATAAACGGCCGCGCAGGCGCAGCTGCTCCCCAAGTGGATCCCGATCGCCGCCATCTTTGCCGCGCTCACTACCCACAATGCACCGGGAGCGCCGCCCCGTCTTCTTCTCCTTCTCTGCTGCTTGCCAGGCTCTGTGGCCAATCAAAATAGAGTCTGGCGTGACGTCACTCCACCTAGCAACCGGGGCAGATTTTCGCCCCGCTACCCCGAGCAGCTGCTAGTTTTCTCTTTGCAAGGGGCGGCGTGGCTTTACTTTGCAAGCATGGCGCGTCCCTGGGGGATTTCCCGGCCGTTGCACGGTTGCATTTTAGCAGCTCTGATGGTGGCGGCGCTCTGTTTAAGCCCCGAGGCTGCCGGGGCGCCTTCCGCCTCCGTGGGCGCCGAAGCTCGGTGCGAAGGTGAGGAAGCACCCTCCAGGCGTGTGTTGCACCGCGTGCGAGTTGCTGCTATAATTAGCGTGTGAATTCCAGCATGGCTTGCAAGCACTGGAAGACGGGCCGTTTTTGCAAACTGCGTGGAGTTGTGGACGCTTGCATTTTTTACAGTTAACCTCGCACACTCGTTCCTACGAGAATTGTCTGCCTTTGCTTCCTGCACGGTAATAACAATAATAATAATTAATAATTATTATAATAATGAAAGGCCATCGACCTGGCCATCGAAACTGCGTGATTATGGATGAAACGTGTAACAGTGATACCCATTGTCATCAGGGCACTGGGAACTATATCCAAAAACTTTGCAAAATACAACAAGAAACTGCAGCTTCCTGCAATAACTCCAGCAATGTTACAAAAAAACTGCACTACTCGGAACATCTTATATTTTAAGGAGGTACCTGGTTGACACCTAGGATGCTGGTAGCAACCCGTGTCAACCATCAGCACCAGCCAATTTGAATGTTCAGTTGACTGAGGTTCATGTCTAATGAATAAAAGATAATATAATATTGAAAGGGACCTTAGAGGCTTTCTAGTCCAATCCCCTGCTCAGGCAGGAAACCCTATACTATTTCAGACAAATGGCTGTCCAGTCTCTTCTTAAAGACTTCCAAAGTTGGAACAACTCTGGCAAGAAGATGGGGAACTCATCAAATTTGCAGTCGACACCAAGCTGGCAGGAATAGCCAACACTCCAGAAGACAGA